GCGGGGGCGCGGCTCCGCGCGGCCGGCCTGCTGCAGCAGCAGGTCTTGCTGCTGCTGCTGCAGCGCAGCAAGCTGCTGCTGCTCCTCCCCCCGCAGCGGCTGCTGCACCACCCGCAGCAGCACGCCGTCAACGCCCAGCAGCAGCGACAGCAGCTCCTCCAGCAGCAGCCGCTCCCTTGCTGCATGCGGCAGCAGCAGCCAGTCTGCTGCTAGCTGCTGCTGCCCCCAGTTGACTGCAGCAGCGAAGTCGGGCTCGGGGCTGCTGCTGCTGCGCTGCAGCAGCAGCTCCTGCTGCTCCTCCATGGGCAGCGGCGCCGCCGGCGGCACTGCAGCAGCAGCAGCAGCCAGCCCGTGCTGCTGCAGCACAGCAGCCACCGTGCTGCTGCCCCACACTTCTGCTGCTGCTGCTGCAGCATCCCACGGGCTGGGGGCCAGCAGCGCAGCAGCAAATCGAGACAGCGGAAGGCCGCACTCTGGAAGTCCTGCTTTCTCTATGCGCCAGCCGCAGTGTACGTACACCCCAGAAGCAGCAGCAGCAGCAGCTGCTGCTGCTGCTGCTGCTGCTGCTGCGGGATGCTCGGGCGGGGAGTCGAAAGAGAGAGACCCCACGAGACAAACTCGGCGCTGCAGCAGCTGCTGCTGCTGCTGCAGCAACAGCTGCTGCGGCTTCACCAGCAGCTGCAGCGACAAGAACTCCTGCGTCTTCTGGTTCAGCAGCACTAACTCTTCCCCTTGCTGCAGCAGCACATCCTCGTGCTGCTGCTGCTGCTGCTGCTGCTGCTGCTGCTGCAGCCGCTGCGGCAACATATGGGCCGGCAGCATCGAGGGGCGCAGCAGCTTCCAGCGCAGGCGCGAGTCTGCTGCTGCTGCTGCTGCTGCTGCCGCTGCTGCTGCTGCAGATCCTGCTGCAGCAGGACATATCTGCTTCGCTACCACCGGCGTCCCAGGGCCCCACTCCTGCCGCGCATGCGGCCTCTTGCTGAGCTCTGCTGCTGCTGCTGCTGCTGCTGCAGGTTCTGCTGCAGCAGAGTATATGACCTTAGGTGTGGGGCCCTGGGGGCCCCCCGCCCCCAGCAGCCACAGAGCTGCTGCAGCTTCTCCCTGTGGGGGCCCCACAAAGGCGAGCAGCACTTCAGTGCCATGGCTGCAGCAGGAAGGGCCCTGTTTGCTGCTGCTGCTGCTGCTGCTGCTGCTGCTGCTGCTGATTGCTTTGTGGTACGCTGGGTAGGTGGGCAGCAGCAGCAGCTTGCTGCGGGGGCTGCTCGGGAACGGAGGGCTTGCAGACACGACGCATGGGGCCTCTGCTGCTGCTGCTGCTGCTGCTGCTGCTGCTGTGGGTCTAGGCGTAAAGCCGCCAAGGCGACCTGCTGCTGCTGCTGCTGTTGCTGCTGCTGCTGCTGCTGCTGCTGCTGCTGGTGCTTCCTCTACTGTGAGGTACTGGTGGCCTGCCCGCTGCACTGAGACCAAACCCACGGAGCAGTTCAGCAGCACAGGAGAGGCCAGCGGCTGCCGCGGCATTTGCTGCTGCTGCTGCAGCAGCTGCTGCCGCTGCAGCAGCTGCTGCTGTCGCGGCTGCTGCTGCTGCAGGTGCTGGAGTTACTGGCTCAGCTAATGCTGCTATCGGCGAGGTCGCTAACACTGTAGTAGTGCTGGGCCTGATTCTCCCGTTGCTGCTGCTGTTGCTGCTGCTGCTGCTGCTGCTGCCGCTGCTGCTGCTGCTGCTGTTGCTGTTGCTGTCGTCGTTGCCCTTGCTGCTGCTGCAGCAGCAGCAGCAGAAATTTTGCAGCAACAATACCTTGGGGCCTCCGCGGGCTCACAGGCTCCCCAGCAAACGCGGGAGAGGAGGGCCCCTGTATGCGGCTTGTACAGATCTAAACCCTAAACCCTAAACCCTAAACCCTAAACGCTAAAACCCTGAGCATTACACTCCAGACATAGGCCCCTGGTCAGTTAAAACTTGGAAGAGAAGAAGATAAACAACTTTTATTTCTTGCTCTTTTTAACCAGCAGCAGCAGCAGCAGCAGCAGCAGCAGCAGCGGGGCCCCCAAGGCCGAGGGGAGGTGGTGGTTGCTGGGTGGGGTTGTTGTTATCGCAGCAAGTAGCTGAAATAATAATCATTAAATATTCTTCTTTTAAAAGTGTTGAATTTAAAATGCTGCATTGATCATGGTGTGGCCTTCCTGCAGCAGCAGGAACAGCAACAGCAGCAGGAGCAGCAGGAGCAGCAGCAGCGGCAGCTGCTGCTGCCTGGCTGCTGCTGCTGCTGTTCTCCGGCAGATACCAGTATCTCTCGCGGCTACTTTTTGAAATAAAATACTTTTTAAATTAATTTAAGTTTTTAATTTTACTGAACCTCCTGCTTCGCTGGGTACAACGGAGGTGTACAGACACCGCGCGCTTGGCTCTGTCGAGCTGCCGCTCTTCTGGGGTGTATCTCCACCTGCCCATTTTTTCCACTTTGCCCGCACGCATTAATGTCTTTACTGTTTTGAATTCATTTACAATTTATTTAATTATTATTTATTTATTTATTTATTTATTTATTTGCATGAAACCAACTAAAGAGGCTCACAGGCAGCCTGGGCAGAGAGCTCTGTGCAAGGGAGCAAACAAATACAAATTGGATCTGTTCTGTCAGCCAGAAGTGAATAAAGAGTAAATTTAATTCTAAAAGTAATTAAAGTCTAAATTTAAACTTTGGTTTTATAAAAATTTAATTCTAAAAGTAATTAAAGTCTAAATTTAAACTTTGATTTATAAAAAACATTTTAATTCCATTCAAGTTTTGCATTTTGCGGCAGTAGCAGCGCCTGCGCTGCTTCTGCACTCAAGGCGAGAGCTGCCTATACACCCAAATCAGCAGCGGCCAGAAGTAAAGCACTGCTGCTGCTGCTGCTGCTGCAGCCACAGCACTGCTGCTGCTGCTGCAGCCACAGCACTGCTGCTGCTGCTGCTGCAGCCACAGCACTGCTGCTGCTGCAGCCACGGCACTGCTGCTGCTGCTGCTGCAGCCACAGCACTGCTGCTGCTGCAGCCACAGTACTGCTGCTGCTGCAGCTGCAGCCCCTGTGTGTTGCTGCAGCCACTGCAGGCCGCCCCAGGGCCCTTGCTGCTGCTGGTTAAGAAAACTTTGCTGCAGCAGAACCACAAGCAAAGCAGCAGCAGCAGCAAGGACACAGAAGCAGCGCCAATCGCAGGCCACGCAGCTGCTGCTTGTGTTGCTGCAGCAGCAGCAGCAGCTGCTGCTGCTGCTACCGCGTCTTACAGCGTTGTTCTTTAGCTGCTGCTGCACGCAGACTGCACCAGGAGATAACTAGAGCTGCTGCTGGTGTTGCTGCCAAAGGAGCAGCAATAGCGGCAGCAGCAACAGCAGCAGCAGCAACAGCAGCAGCAGCTGCTGCTGCTGCTCTGTGGCCCCTGAAAGACTCAGTCGGATTCATAGGCCTCTCTCTCTTGCTGCTGCTGCTGCTGCTTCTTCCGTTTGTGCTTCTTGCGTTTCTTGCGGCGCTTTCTATCGTGAGAGTTTTCAGAGTCGCTGCTGCCTTCGCTGCCCTCTGCTGCTGCTGCTGCTGCTGCTGCTGCTGCTGCTGCTGCTGCTTCTTGCCCTGCTGCTGCTGCTCCAGCTAACGCATTGGACTCTTCTTCGTCGCTCTCAAAGTCGCGGGGGCGCTTCAGTAAATGAGTTGGTGGATCTGCTGCTGCTGCTGCTGCTGCTGCTGCTGCTGCTGCTGCTTCTTGGCTCTCCGATGCTGTAGCTGCTTCGGCTCCATTTGCTGCTGCTGCAGCTTCCTCCCCACCTTCTTCAGCTTCTGCTGCTTCGCCTCCATCTTCTGCTGCTGCGGGCACTTCGTCCCCATCAGCTGCTGCTGCTGCTGCGTCTCCATCTGCTGCTGCAGCATCGGCCCCCTCTGCTGCTGCTGCTGCTGCTGCTGCTGCTTCTTCCCCATCTGCTGCTGCTGCTGCAGAGTCCGTGTCATCTTCGGGGTCCCGAGCAGCCAGCCGCAGCAGCCTGCGCGCTTTCTTCTTGCTGCTGGGGCGTTCCTCTTGCTGCTGCTGCTGCTGCTGCTGCTGCTGCTGCTGCTGCTCTGCTGCTGCTGCTTCTGCGTCTTCGTCTGTTGCAGCATCTCCCTCCTGCTCCCTGTTGCTGCTGCGCTTCCGCTTCTTTTGCTTCTTTTTCTTTTTGCTGCTGCTGCTGCTGCTGCCTTTGCTTCTGCGGTGTCTCGGCAGCTCGTCATCTGCTTCGCTCAAAGCCCCTTCTATTGAGTCATCAATGAAGTTGTCAGTTTCTTTTTGCTTCCGCTTTTGCTGCTGCTGCTGCTGCTGCAGTCCTCTCCGCTGCTGCTGCTGCTGCTGCTGCTTCAGGTTCTCGGGGGCCGGCCGCAGCGGCAGCGAAGCAGCAATTTGTTTGGCCTCTTCCGCCAGCTGCTGCTGCACCTCCCTCTCCTGCAGCAGCAGCTGTTCCTGCTGCATGCGCCGCTGCTCCTCCTGCTGCTGCTGCAGCAGCAGCTGCTGCTGCTGCCGCTGCTGCTGCTGCTCCCGCTGCTGCGTCAGCCACCGCAGCTCCAGTATTGGCATCATTCTATTTATATGATGCAGCACTCTGTCTCTAGAAACTTGATGGGGCCCCCCTTGTGCATGCGCAGCAGGAACTTCTTCAATACCTTCTGGGGGCACCACCACAACTGTGGGGCCCCCCGGGGGCCCCCCTGGGGGCCCCCCTGGGGGCCCCCCTGGGGGCCCCCCCGGGGGGCCCCCTGGGGGGCCCCCGCTGAGCCCTGCTGCTGCTGCTGCTGCTGCTGCTGACTTTGCTGCTGCTGAGCCGGGTGGGGGCAGCGGCCGGCCGTCGCTGTTGTAGCAGAAGGGGAAACCTGCTGCTGCTGCTGCTGCTGCTGCTGCTGCTACCAGGGGCTTCGGGCCCTCCTCTCCCCCCAATATAGACAATGGGCGGAACTCTGCACGCACCAAACCCTAAACCCTAAACCCTAAACCCTAAACCCTAAACCCTAAACCCTAAACCCTAGTCGTCAAGTGCCCAGAGAATTGATGCACATTTGCGCGCGGCTTGAATTGCGCGCGGCTTGAAAAGGGTTTAGGGTTTAGAGCCGCTGCTCCCTGATGTGCTAGGGTTTAGGGTTTAGGGTTTCTAGCCTCCGCGCTTTACTTCCCTAGGGTTTAGGGTTTGCCGCCTGTGTCATTAAAGTCTATAAGCTTTAGTCTTAGGGTTTGCTGCTTGCGGCCTTCCGTGTTTTCGCGAGACTAGGGTTTAGTAGGGTTTAGGGTTTAGGGTTTGGCGAGTTGGATTTCGAAGCTAGAGGGGTCAAAACGCGCGTCTAGGGTTTGCGGATTAGGGTTTAGGGTTTAGGGTTTGCCCAGTTTGGCCTGGAGCCTCAGGGGGGCGCTGAGAGCTTGGCTAGAAGGGCCGAAAGTGGCTGTAAGCGTTTAGGGTTTAGAATTTAGGGTTTAGGGTTTGGCGAGTCGGTTTTTGAGGCTAGAGGGTTCAAAACACGCGTCTAGCCAAATCCCAAATCCCAAATCCCAAATCCCGAACGGGAGTTTGGCCTGGAGTCTGAGGGGAGCGCTGAGAGCTTGGCTAGAGGGGTCGAAAATAGCTTTTATTGTTTTGCTTCGGCGAGAAGAAAAGAGCAGCAATTCAGTGACGTGTTTCACGAGGTGTACGAACACCGCAGACTCCAGCTGCCCCCGAAGCCCCAGCGCTTTCGTTTGGAAGCAGTCGCACAGAAAGCCCTAGAAGCCGCAAACCACAAATTAGGGTTTAGGGTTTAGGGTTTAGGGTTTGGTGTTTGGGGGCACTGAGGAGGGATAAGGAGGAAAGGGGAGCTTCGAGGGTTCAAATGGGGAGAAAGAAGAAATTTGAGGGTTTGGAGAAATAAAAAAAAAACAAAAAGGGAAATTAAAGGGTTTAAAAGAAAAGAATTTAAAAAAGAATTAAAAAGAATTAAAAAGACAAAAAGACAAAAAGGAATTCAAAAAATTGAAAAGAAAAAACACGAAAAGCTGAATGACAAAAGGAGTTAGAGGGAGTTAATTAAAACAGCCACAACAAACAAGAAAGGGGAAAAAAGGGGTATCAAACCCTAAACCCTAAACCCTGAACCCTAAACCCTAAACCCTAAACCCTAAACCCTGAAGTCTGCACCAAGACAGAGGAACGCAAATCCCATAACCTGTGATGTCTGGCCATCCACGTTCTGCAGCCGTCTCTCGATTTTAGGGTTTAGGGTTTGGGGTTTAGGGTTTAGGGTTTGGGGTTTAGGGTTTAGGGTTTACAATGTTGTATACGAAGCGGACGTCTCGCGGCCACCGCCTCTGGGCAATTTGCATCAGCTCAATGCCCGCCATGAAAAACTGCAGCGCAAACCCTAAACCCTAAACCCTAAACCCTAAACCCTAAACCCTAAACCCCAGGAGAAAGTCCCTTAGAATAAATTGACAGCAGCCCTTGGGATATCAATTAAGGAGCGTTTTGCTGCTGGACCCTCCCGCTGCATTTTGCTGCTGCACTCTTCGCCAGGGTTTCGGGTTTGGGGTGTACGTACACCCCAAACCCTAAACCCTAGCGAAGAGTGTTTGGGGTGTACGTACACCGCAGTCATGAAAAAGCCGCCCTATGGCCAGGTAAACATCTCTTTCTGTGGGTAAGGCATCCATTGCTGACAAAAAATAAAATAAGGCCTGCAGCAGCAGCAGCAGCAGCAGCAGCAGCAGCAGCAGTGTGCGCCTGGCCGTTATTCCCAGCAGCAGCAGCCGCGGCGGCAGCAGCAGCAGCGACCCCAGCGGCCACCCCAGCACATTTCGCACACCAGAGGCTGCAGCAGCAGCAGCAGCAGCAGCAGCAGCAGCCATTCCTTCTATTCCCTTTCTAGCAGACGCAGCAGCCCATCCGCAGCAGCAGCAACAGCAGCAGGACGCAGCAGCAACAAGAACCACATCTCGTCCGAGCAGCCGCAGCAACATCAGCAGCAGCCCAGCAGCAGCAGCAGCTGCCCCGCAGCAACCGCAGCAGAACACAGCGAGCGCAGCAGCAGCAGCAGCAGCAGCAAGCAGCGACCAGAGCAGCAGCAGCAGCAGCAACAGCCCACAGCGGACGCAGCAGCAGCCACCGCCGCCGCAGCAGCAGCCACAGCAGCAGCAGCAGCAGCAGCAGCAGCAGCAGCAGCAGCAGCACCCGGTTGAGCTTGCTGGGATCGGCTTTGGAGACGTCGATCCCAGGCACAATGTCAGTGCGAGCAGCAAGAGCAGCAGCAGCAAGCAGCAAACCCAAGTTGAAAGACACAAACCCTCTGCTGCTGCGCGGCGGCCTGGACTCCAGCACTCGCCGGAAGCTGCTCAGCGCCGCTCGCTGCAGCAACGCACACCCCACACGCTGCTGCTGCTGCTGCTGCTGCTGCTGCTGCTGCTGCAGCGGCAGTGGGGTGGTGGGGCGGGGGCTGGGGGTGAGCTAGAAGCAGCAGCAGCTCGCAGCAAGCGCCAGTTGCTGCTGCTGCTGCTGCAGCTGGGGGAGGAGCTAGCCAGCCGAATAGGCAAAACGCAGAAGCAGAAGTGCTAGCTGCTGCTGCTGCTGCTTGTGCTGCTGCTTGTGCTGCTGCTTCTGCTGCAGCTCTTGATGCTGCAGTTGTCTTAGCTGCTGCTGCGAATAGGGCCAGCTAGCCGCTGAGAAAAAGAGAGAAGGAAAAAGGGCTATTTGCTGCTGCTTTTGCTGCTGCTTGTGCTGCTGCTTGTGCTGCTGCTTGTGCTGCTGCTTTTGCTGCTGCTTTGTCTCGTTTGCTGCTCGTTTGCTGCTTCGGTATTTGCTGCTTCTGCTGCTTTATCCCCTACTCCTACTACCGTTGCCTCTTATTCTTTATTTGCTGTTGCTGCTGCTGCTTCATTATCATCTAATTGCTGCTGCTACTGCTGCTGCTGTTGCTTCGTTACTTTTTATTTGCTGCTGCTGCTGCTGCTGCTGCTGCTGCTTTAGTCCCTTGTGCGGCCTCATCTCTACGCGGTGCCGGTGCTGCTGCTGCGCCTGACAGCCAGCAGCAGCAGCAGCAGCAGCAGCAGAAACACAAAGCTACGGACGACTGCACTACCCCTGCTGCTGCAGCTGCTTCTGCCACAGCAGAAGCAGCAGCCGCAGCCGCTGCTGCTGCAGCAGCAGCAGCAGCAGCTGCTGCTGCTGCTGCTGCTGCTGCTGCTGCTGCTGCTGCTTACTGTCAGTCCCTGGTAAGCCATCCAAACCCCCAGCCCCAAAGCTGCATGCGCATTGCCCAGAAAGGGCGGCTGCAGCGCGAGGCAGCAGCTGTAGCGAAACTCCGCAAACGCCTCGTTGGCCCTACAAGCAGCAGCAGCAGCAGCAGCAGCAGCAGCAGCAGCAGCAGCAGCAGCGGCAGCAGCAGCAGCAGCAGCAACGGGAGCAGCAGCAGCAGCAACGGCAGCAGCAGCAGGCATGAGAGCGACAGGTGCACTTCCTTCGTTCGAGGATATGGTAGGGCTGCAGCGGCCACCCAAGACTGCTGCTGCTGCTGCTGCTGCTGCTGCTGTAGCTGCTGCTGCAGGATTTCCATTAGCAGCAAGGCAGCAGCAGCAGCAGCACAGGCTGCAGCAACCACCAAGTTATAGAGCCTCCGGGTCATAACCCGCCGCTAAGCTTTAGGGTTGGGGCTTAGAGTTTGGATTTAGGGTTTAGGGTTTAGGGTTTAGGGTTTAGGGTTTACTTGGGGTGGCCTGCAGCAAAAAGGCGTTTGGCTCTCGCGAAGTGAATAGCAGCAAGAAACGAAAGCGCCATGGGGTCCCTGGGTTTCTTGGCGCTGCTGCTCTTCTTCTTTTTGCTGCTGCTGCTGCTGCTGCTGCCCTTATCTGCTGCTGCTGCTGCTGCTGCTGCTGCTGCTGGATCCTGCACCTCCAGCGCCCGCTGCACCAGCTGCAGCGCGCGCTCGTGGCGGCCGGCGCTGAGCTGAAAGGAAGCAGCAAAAAGGCAAGCCAGGGCCAGGTCTGCTTTGCTGCTGCTGCTGCTGCTGCTGCTGCTGCTGCTGCTGCTGCTGCTGCTGCTGCTGCGGATGAAGGCCTCGGCGGCGAAGTTGGCCCCGTAGAGGGAGCCCCGCTGCAGCGCCAGCTGCATGCGCAGCAGCTGCTGCAGCTGCTGCAGCTGCTGCCGCAGCGGCAGCGGCAGCAGCAGCTCCAAATGAGCCAGGAGACACCGCAGCACAGAAGGCCGCAGTGCTGCTCTTTCGTCCTCTTCCCAGATCTCTGCTGCTGCTGCTGCTGCTGCTGCTGCTGTTGCTGCTGCTCCCGTTGCTGCTGCTGCTGCTGCTGCTGCTGTTGCTGCTGCTCCCGTTGCTGCTGCTGCTGCTGCTGGCGAACGCTGCGACGCAGGGGACTCCGCAGCTGCTGCGATCCCCAAAGCTGCTGGCGTGCCTGCAGCACCGCCTGCTGCTGCTGCTGCTGCTGCTGCTGCTGCTGCTGGAGGAGACGCAAGGAAACGCAGCAGCAAAGACAGCTGCGAGTGAGCGCCCAGTGCAGCTAAACAGAGACACAAATTGAAGCAGCAGAGTGCAGCAAGAGCAGCATCGCCGTCGCTGCTGCTGCTGCTGCTGCTGCTGCTGTTACTGCTGCTGCTGCTGCTGTTACTGCTGCTGCTGCTGCTGCGGGGTGCGTCTCCTGCAGCATCGCGTGCGCTTGCCTTTTCCCCAAGCCCCTGCTGCTGCTGCTGCTGCTGCTGCTGCTGCTGCTGCTGCTTGGTGCTGCTGTGGCAGCAGAGGTGCAGCAAGAGAGCAGCAAGCAGCCTCTGTGCTTCTGCTGCTCTATTTGCTGCTAAAAGGAGACAGCCGTAATTGTGCAGCGCCCCCAAGGGGAGACACCCAGCATTCAAGAAGGCCTCCACTTTGTCCCTTAGCAGCACCTGCTGCTGCTGCTGCTGCTGCTGCTGCTGCTGCTGCTGCTGCTGCTGCTGCTGGGTGTGCCTGTGCTCGTGTCCGTCGAGCTGCATGGCGGCGGCCGCGTCTGCGTGCGCCTCCCGCTGCTGCCGCTGCTGCTGCTGCTGCTGCTGCTGCTGCTGCTGCTGCAGCGCAGCAGCAAGGTAGTGGTCAGCGAGGCCGTCTGCTTCGGCCAGCAGCGCGAAGGCCTGCAGCACGAGAACTTCACTGCAGCAGGGCAGCAGCCGCAGCACAGCAGCAAGAGCTAGCTGAGCTTCTTGGCCTTGTTTGAGAGCAACAGCACATTCAGCAGCATGAAAAGCTGCTGCTGCATGCAGCCCCGTGCGGCAGCAAGCAGCAGCAAACTCGCGCAGCGCTGCTGCTGCTTCCCCGCGCTGCTGCAGCAGCAAGCCCCGCAGGTAGCTGGCCTCCGCCACCAAGTTGCTGCAGTGGGGGGGGACCCACAGCTGCTGCAGCAGCAGCTCGGCAGTTTGCTGCTGCTGCAGCAGCACGAGCCTGCCGCAGAGCTGCAGCAGCACGGCGGGGTCGCTGGGGTTCGCGAGGTGCGCCTGCAGCAGCAGCTCGTTTTGCTGCTGCAGCCCTGCTGCTGTGCGGCTGTCGCCCTGCAGCAGCGCAGCAGCAGCAAGCGCGCTGCTGCAGCGGCTGCTAAGTGCTGCTGCTCTTTTGAATGCATGCAGCGCTTCTTGCTGCCGGCCGAGCCGCAGCAAACAGTGCCCCACTGCAGCACGAAGTTCAGCAGCAAACTCCGTCTCCGTGTAGCACACGCACCCCGCCTCCTGCTGCTGCTGCTGCTGCTGCTGCTGCTGCTGCTGCTGCTGCTGCTCGCGGGGGGCCGGGAGGTAGGCCACGAGGCGGGCGTAGAGCAGCAGCGCGTCGGCCCAGCGGCGCTGCAGCACAGCGCATGCAGCAAGCCCCAAGTAAGCAGCAGCATGTGTGGGGTTTGCTGCAGCAACAGCAGCAAAGCCTTGTTCAGCTCGGAGGAGTTCTGCTGCGCGGCGCTGCTGCTGCTGCTGCTGCTGCTGCCGCTGCTGCTGCAGCGCCTGCAGCAGCTGCTGCGCGCGCCCCGCGCCGCCGCCCGCTGCTGCTGCTGCTGCTGCTGCTGCTGCTGCTGCGTCGCCGCCGGGGCCCTGCAGCACAGCAGCAGCAAGGGAGAGCATGGCGCCGAGGAGGAGACACAGGAAGTCGGGGTCTTTGAGGCGCAGCAGCTGGAAGTCGGGCGCTGCTGCTGCTGCTGCTGCTGCTGCTTGCTGCTGCTGCTGCTGCTGGCGCTGCTGCTGCTGCTGCTGCGGGGGCGCCGCAGGCCTCGGCGAGGCCAGCAGCAGCAGCAGCCTTCTCCTTCCAGTCTGCTGCCTTCAGCAGCAGCAGCTGCTGCGAGTGGGGGTCTGCTGCATGCAAGGCCTTGAAGAGATAGTGGCTGCAGAGAGCAGCAGCAACGCGGACCCGCCAGTCCCCCGTCCACGCAGCAGCAGCAGCAGCAGCAGGAGCAGCAGCAGCAGCAGCAGCAGCAGCGGGCTCGGGCTCGACGGGGGGCGCGGGCCGCAGCAGCGGGCAGCGGCACGCTGCTGCTGCGTCTCTTGCTGCTGCTTGCTGCAGCAGCAGCAGGTCCAGCTGCTGCAGCGGCCTGCTGCAGACATCGCAGTTCCCATACAACAAGTTGCTGCTGCAGTAAGAAGAGTCCTGCAGCAACTCTTCAAACCCTTCCAAGTCCCCCCCCAAGTAGCAGCAAAGCCCGCAGCCCAGCCAGCCCTCCAGCCGGCTCATTTCTCTCTTCAGCATATCCCGCACAAACACCACATCTCCCCGCCCCAACTTGCCCCCCGGGGGCCCCCCGGGGGGCCCCCCGGGGGCCCCCGGGGGGCCCC